CCACAATTTTACCGCAGACAATACTGACAAGCTGAATAATCTATAAAAGCACAAGGCGCTAACGGTATTCCGGCGCCCACACGACCCTCTCCAGCTGCTGGCAGTGCTCCCGCAAAATCGCCATATGTCGAACGGAGCAACCCCATGGGTCAAGGTGCTGCCCAAACGGTCACCTCCAAGGACCCCAAGGCCGCTGCCCAGGCTGCTAGTGACATGAGGAACGTCGTCCGCCGCAAGTTGACCGGTTATGTTGGATTCGCCAACCTCCCAAACCAATGGCATCGTAAAAGTGTTCGCAAGGGTTTCAACTTCAATGTGATGGTTGTCGGTATGTATATTTCCGTCTGCATCTGCACGTGATACTTCGTATCTATGCTAAAACGACTATTTAGGTGAATCTGGCTTGGGAAAGTCTACTCTTGTCAATACTTTGTTCAACACTTCCCTGTATCCTCCAAAGGAACGCAAGGGCCCTAGCCTGGATATTATTCCAAAAACCGTTGCCATTGAGTCTATCAGCGCCGATATTGAGGAAAACGGCGTTCGTCTCCGTCTGACTGTGGTTGATACACCTGGTTTCGGTGACTTTGTCAACAACGATGACTCCTGGCGTCCAATTGTTGAGAACATCGAACAGCGCTTCGACGCTTACCTCGAGGCCGAGAACAAGGTTAACCGCATGAATATTGTGGACAATCGTGTCCATGCTTGCGTCTACTTCATCCAGCCAACAGGCCACTCGCTGAAGCCGCTTGACATTGAGGTAATGCGCCGATTGCATACCAAGGTCAATCTTATCCCTGTCATTGCCAAAGCCGATACTCTCACCGATGAGGAAATTGCTCTTTTCAAGCAAAGGGTACGTATTTACAAAACTCCCTTAACTTCAGGCCACCCTTGAACAAAACATTGTACATAAGTTTGGAAAGTTCTGACACGCGACAGATTCTGGCCGATATCCAACATCATTCCATCCAAATCTTCGAGGGGCCCCGATACGAGCTTGATGATGAAGAAACCATCGCCGAGAACCAGGAAATCATGTCCAAAGTTCCTTTTGCTGTTGTTGGAGCGAACTCGGAGGTCACCAGCAGTGAGGGCCGCAAGGTCAGAGGTCGTCGTTATCCATGGGGTGTCATCGAGGTTGACAACGAGGAACATTGCGATTTCGTCAAATTGCGCCAGATGCTCATCCGTACTCATATGGAAGAACTCAAGGAACACACGAATAATGCCCTGTACGAGAACTACCGATCTGACAAACTCACACAGATGGGTGTTGCGCAGGACCCAAGTGTATTCAAGGAGGTCAACCCTGCAGTCAAGCAGGAAGAAGAACGCACCTTGCACGAACAGAAACTCGCAAAGATGGAGGTCGAGATGAAGATGGTTTTCCAACAAAAGGTGCAGGAGAAGGAAAGCAAGCTCAAGCAGAGCGAAGACGAGCTTTTCGCGCGACATCGCGAGATGAAAGAACAATTAGAGCGACAACGCGCAGAATTGGAAGAAAAGAAGTCTCGCCTCGAAAGTGGAAGACCTCTCGAGGACAAGATAAAGAGAAAGGGTTTCTCGCTCCGTTAAGAGTCAACCCATGGCTGATATGCACTCTGGACATCATGGGATGTCGACCTATGACATGCGGACAACCTCTGTTTGATTTCTTGGTCTTCTTTGAGTTCCTCTCCCTTCTGCTCATGGTTCCAGCGCTCTCTCTAATACCTCTTTTCGTTCTCTTTCCTCTTCTTTCCATTCACTAAGAGTAATTCGGCTCTCTTACACATTCTTTTGCTTTTTTTCTTCCCTTTCTTTCTCCCTTTCTCCTCTTTCATTTATACCTTTTGCTCTCTATCTCACTTCTGTAATGACTTCGACCCATTCCCCCCCCCCCCCCCCCCCTATACTTATTGTTATTTTCTCTTGAGCTTTTCCCCCCCGCCTACATTTTGGTCTTCCCTTGGATATTTTCTTGCTTGCATGGTAGCTTACCTGCTGAGGAGGGAGTCTCTCCAACCAATGAAACGGAGAAAACCAAATTTGTGCACAACTTAATAAGCTGTCTATTTAGCAGTTTCAGAAAAGCCTGTTATTCCTTTATTTTTTTCCTCTTCTCAAAAGAGGATTTGAAAGGGTGGTTGATGGAGTCTACAAGCATGGTTTTCCCCCAACATTCAAAACACGAGAAGGTATGCTTCTACGCAGATGGTGGGGATATATGAGTGGGCGGGAGTATTAAAATTTGTGGCTTTTCTTCTTTTCTACTTCTGCTTCATCTATTTCTTTCTAATACTCAGCCTTTTTTAACTTCCTCTCTCTTCCCCTTCAACCATGTCGTGTATCCCAATTCTATCAGACCTTTTGCTTTTTTCAAGAGTGTATTACCTAGTTTTTTTTTTTTTTTTTTTTTTTTTTTTTTTTTTTTTTTTTTTCCCTCCCCTTTACCCCCTCCCCCACCGCCATTTTCCTCCCAACCCAAAAAAATATAAAAACAATACAAAAAATAAACCCCTCATACGCTGGTGTATTTTCTTTCTTTTTTTCTTTTTAATTCTGGTTAAAGGACAATAAGAGCGTGTTTGTCAAACCCCCTCCCTTTCCATTACCGTTTAAGTTATGTAGTTATATCTCCTTTATCCATCCACCTTCTCGAAGTGAAAAAAAAGCCCCCTGCTCCTCGTCATAACTCCATTCTCTTTATGTCCCTCACTAGATTTTTTCCTTTCGGAACAGGTGGGATGGGGTGGTGATGTAGTACATAGGGATGGGTAATTGCGTAGCGAGGTATGCAGTTCCTTCTGGTAATGACCTGTAAAACGCTAACAACATGGTCAATATCTGTGCCTGGTTGGATAATGTAGGCTGCTAATGCCATTGTTTTACTTTGGGAGAGGGAGGGTTGTTTGTTGCCATCGAGTGTACACGGGGCAAAGAAAGAAAGAAAGAAAGAAAGAAAGAAAGAAAGAAAAGAAAACTTTTAAAGAAAGGGGGTTCTTCTTGCTCTATTTTTCTGTATTATTCCTTTCTTTGTCCACTGGTGTGCTAGCCGCTACTTTCCGTATCTCATGATACATGGAAGTCGAGGAATGGGTAGGTATCCAGGGTATGCTCGAGATAGCACCCCCGTCCATTGTTCTCCGCTGGAAGCCCAAAAAAAAAAAAAAAAAAAAAAAAAAAAAATGAAAATGAATAAGGCCGTCGTCTGGATTTCTTAGTTTCTTATTGTCTCCTTTGCTAAAGAGAACGAGGAAGAGAAGAAGGTTCGTCGTTTTGTTGTTACCTGCTGCTTTATTTCCTTTACGTTATATGATGGATGCTGTTGTCATAGTACTTCGAAGTAGGTAGGTAGGTATGGGGAAGGCCGGAGGCTAGAGAGTAGGGTTATGGATACATATATAGACATCCATTAATTATATATCGACCCCACCTCTTGTTTCCATTTCTTCAGATAACTCCTTTCCCAAAAGGCACAGGTAGATACCCTATGAATACGTGAAAGAAAAGCAAAACCAGCAGCGCTCATCTGCGGGGCAACCCGTTGTCTTTTCATTTATAATAGTATCTCTACACAAAGCTCATGGAAGAGAGCGGGGACGCAATTGAGCCGGTAATGGTTATCCATTGCAATCGAGGCAATAAGTGATGAGTGGGA